AAATTAAACAGTTCAGTGTTTCTTAAATGTTTTTACAAATTTTCGAAAAACTAATCAAAAAATAAATTTTGTTTTTTTTTATACTTTTAGAAAATAACTAATGCAAAATTGTAAACGAGTCGAAAAAAAATGTTTTTTTCACTTTGATGAAGATTAGGCAATGTTTAAAAACAATATGTGCAATTGTTCCTTTAATTTTTTTGCAAAACTTTGATCAATCGGTAAAAGAAATCGGTTTGATAATAAAAATTGGCAAGGTTGTGGGGGATACTTTCAGCTGTAAAAATACCTAAAAACATTAGTTTTTCCATCAATATTAGTGAATACGCGGTAGATTTACTAAAACAACGTAAAAAGTTACTTTTTTCTCTTTTCTTTAAATCAATGTTAAAGGCGAAAAAAAAATTATTTTCAAAAAAATCATAAAAGGATCTTATAAGACGTTTATTCCAGTTTTTGACACTACTCTTATATTCTCTGTGTAGTCATTGGTTGCTAAAATATCGATGATCAAAGACAAAATGATCTTTTTTCATTTAAAGTCAGATATCTCAGCGACAAATTGTCGTAAAGAGAATAGAAAGAAAGCATATTAGCTATCCAACCTATAAATTGACGTAACTAAAAAAAAATATTTCCACGTCCTTGGACTAAAAACAAAACCATAAAAATTTAGATTTTTTTTCTTGCCCTATTACTTAGAATTGCGGGATAACCGTAGCACAGAAAAAATATTTGCTAAAAGATCTCAAAACTAAAAACTAAAAGCTTCAAAATGTTTTTTTTTAATCTAGATACGACCATTTCTCCATGAGTTACAGCCTTTCAAAAATCACCAAAAAAATTGGAAAAATTGTTTGTTAATTTAATTTTTTGGAGTAGTGTATTTATTTAAGAGTCGTGCCTTAAACTTCTAGATCCTCTTTGCTCAGTGATCAGTAGTCATTTTTAGAACAAAAAACTCTTTATTTGCTTTAATTAATACGCAGGTAATCTTTGTTTGTTTTAAGTAAACCAACAGTTTTTGTTTATTTTAGTTAGAACAAAGAAGGTGCAATTGACAATTTTTAAGCAAAAGAAGATTTTTAAAACAAATACTTTTATAAAAATGCAATTTTAAGTAAGATTAACATACATTTCTCCTATATGGCGCAATGCTTGATTAGCAAACCTTAACTTTAGAAAATCATATTTTCAAAACTAGTCGGTATATTTTTTTAAAAATTTGAATTGCAACTAATTAAAAGATGCTCTACACGATGGTGATGATGAAAAAAAAAACTTGTAGTTTTTTTTTTTAGATTATTTCGATTCACTTCGAACTTCATCGAACACTGTTCGAAAAAAAATTCGCCAATATTCAATTTCAAATTGCATATTGTTCTAAAGCGGAAGTCTATTTTTTTATAATTGTTTTATTTTAAGAAAATCGGCCTAATTGTTATTGAGTAATGATTTTTTAAAGTTAAAGTGTTTGAAATTCATTTAAATTAGAAAAAAAATATTTAATTTAAAGTGTGTCTTCTTAATTTTTTGTTAGTGCATTTGATTTGTCTCACTGAGAGTCACAACATGACTTTTTTTTGTCGCCCTGTATATTTACTGTAAAGTGTGGCACAGTTTTCCGGACTGGAGTCTTGATCCCTGTCTTTCGTGCTAAATTTCTCGCCCAAACTGACAGATAAGTCATCCCCGGCATCGCCACTGTACTCCCCAAGAATCCTAAGAATGTATCCTTCATTCTCGTTCCCGATACTGAACGCGTTGTAATGAGCAAACCCTTTTTTGTCCTCCCAATCCACAAGTTCGACTAACAGTTCGTTAGCTTCGTAACCTTCAATTTAACGTTTTATTATTTTACTATAAATTGATTTTGTACCTGTCAAGGCGTACAAATGCTCCAAACCTAGCCAAAACTCCCCCGCTAGGTTCCCAAACCCGCTTTTGTATTCACTCCAAGTTAAATAAAAATTTTGGGAGCCGTCAAACCTGCTGAGGATGTAGGTCCAGCCGCCTCCTCGTGTCTGAAAATCGCACAAAACCATAAAACTTTCAGGCGAGTGGTCGGGTTGGATGCGGTAGAAGCCTGAAATGTTTCTACCATTTGCTTGCACCTCTTTGCAGTGTTTTGGGAGTTGAGTGGTTTTCTGTGGTGGTTGGGTCTAAAAATATCAGTTATGAGAGTTACCACGAGTAGCTTCTTACTGTGCATTCAGGCGATACAACGTTTTGAAATGCAATAAAATTTAAAATTGTAATTAGTTTTAAATACATTTTGTTTGTCTTGGATGTGAAACGCACTTTCTAAGACGATAAGAGATTAATGTGACATTATACTTGACCTATGACCAATTTTTCTAAACATCTTATTTGTGCACCAAATCTCCATGCATTGTTTTCTCAAAAACAAAACTACCAATCTTTGAAAAATATTAGGCACTAACATCGTAGCTGTTTAACTCTGAAGACATTTCTGAGACAAAATAAAATTAAATAAATGTTTTAGGACTTTGACTCTTATTCTAAAGTAAAATTAAGGATTTCGGTTTTAAATAAATCAATTTTTTACGCTTATTTGCTGATTTGGCGTTTTTATGCTAAAAAAACTTTTTTTGAGCTATTTTCATGGTAATTCTGATTATTTTTAGTGAAGTTTATTAGCTTTAATAAACTGTAGACAACTTTGTAAAAAAAATGCAAAAATTTTGTCGCAAAGGAGGGAAGATCCTTCTACGTCAGCTAATTTTAAATACGCTCCAATTTTATTACAAGTTTAGAAGTGGAAAGAGGCTTTTCACACATTAAAAATGTGCCAACCGATAAAAAAAACAGTTTTCTAACCGATAATTTAGAAAAGTTTTAATCATTATTTTTTATAAAAATGATAAACAATCAATTTTATTAAAATGTTTTTATGTATACAGGGTGAATATAAGGTATGGAACTAAACGTTTTTTTTTTAATTATTTGCCTCCAAAAAATAATAATTAATATAAATTAAAATAATTTAAAAAATGTGATCGTATTTTGAGAACAAAATTTTGTTTTGTTTCTGAGTTATGCGATCTTATTTGTCAAAATTGCAATTTATGCAAAAAAAAATTTTTTAATTAAATATAATGTAGATTATTGTAATCCTTAGATCATGACCTTCATGAAAAAATGGTTTAATAGTGGGTTGCCATTAAAAAAAAATAAAACAATGGTAGAACTCAAACACAAAAGAAAATTTCGAAAAATTTTGTTTTTGTAAAACATATTTTTATAGTACTTTATCATTCATCAATTAGTTTTTCCAAAAACTAAATAGTTTAAGCAAAAAACATTTATTTCTAAACTTTTAATTCACTTGGTATGGTATATACTATTTTATCTTCACTTGAACCATCATCTAGCTATTTTTTTATTTTGACAAGTGTCATCCTCCACATGACTTGTGTTAGATCACACCGATTTAATAATGGATAATAATTTTGTTATTTCGTTTTTTTCGAGGATTTTTTTAATAAAATTAATTAAATTATTAAATAATTCATGTAACTATTGATAAATAAAATACCACACCAATAAAGTACACAGGAAAATAATAGAAGAGATTTAAATCCCGTTTTTTGTGTTTTTTTTTTATATATATTTACATAAAACTTATTGTAGTGTCGTTTCACTCCACAAGTTTGACCAATCTTACATTTTAACTTTGTCTTATTTCATTTGAATATTATAAAATGTACATTTGGGTGCAAAAAAAACGTAAATTGTCAAAAACAAAATTGTCAGATTTTTCAAAAAACATGTTTTTTACTACTAGCTGTAAAAAATACCATTATCTAGTTTGTCGAGAGGTTGTGAAGTTGTTTTTCTCCTAATAGTCAATAATCATTTTCATTATAGACCAAGGGCTATAATTAGAGGTGGGTAAATGCCAACATTGGAGGGTATTACATTGATACAAATACTTCTAGAATATTATTATTATTATTATCAATACTAAATCAAATTCAAAAAAACTTATTTTTTTTTCATTAATAACATCAGAATAACCCCAACTCTAAAACTGTGAAAACAATTTATTTCTTGTTAAAATACTATCGGTAGTGAGAAAAATTTTAACACTTTTTCCCTTTTCTTTGCAGAATTTGTTATTTTAACAAATATTTCATATTATGAAAATTCCTTTAATAGTAGCAAACGTGAAAAAATGATATAAACTCATTTATGATAAGAAGAAAATAATACTTGCAACTTAAGTTATAACTCAGGTAAGTAATTAATTACTGTAGCTAATTGTGAATTAACAAAAATTGTAGTTGTGAATTACATGTTAGTCTGAGACAACATGTCCATTAGGTAGGCTATAAAGAAATCTCTTCTCTACCTTGTGTTATAAATATACTATTATTTTATTTTTATTTTTGCTGTAACTTTACTTTTTACTTTCAAGTATTTAATACTTTTTCTGTTAATAATAAGAGGTAACATGTTAGTGTTGTAAAAAAAAATATTACACCAATGAAATAATAGGAAAATAATAGAAAACATGCTAAAAATCGTTTTTTGTATATTTTTTATTTACATATTTAGATAAAACTTACATTTTGACTTGGTCTTATTTATTGAAAATTTATAATGCTACAATATGAAATGTTTTGAATCTAGCCAAGGTTGTTCCTGTAGTCACTACAATTTGCCACCAAATGTTAGGTTAGTAAAAAATATCAAAAAATAAAACAGAGGTACTATTGTATGTTCTAATTATGCGAATTCTATGGAAAATTTTATTTAATAATAATTAAGATTTTAATAATTCAATATTTCGTTAATTACATAAATGAATTAAAATTTTACCAATTAATATCCTGCATACAAATTATTATAAAAATAAAATGTTATTAAACACAAAATTTCTGTCTCCAAATTTCTTGTTCAACAATTTTTGGTCTCACCATCATTTTAGCTTTTTTGAGACCATAAAGTGATCCACGAAAAGTAGACCAAAACATGATTTTGTATCTGTTATCGTCTGATACCACTCTCTTCCTGTATTTGCCTGTGAGCTGAGCCATCATCGTACCATGTTTATACCACCATGCTCCTCCTCAAAATGTTTAATTTATTTCAATTTTGTCTATTTATCCAAAACTTACGGTACGAAACAGCACAAGAATCTTTGTCTTTTGTAGCGAATTTAGCATCTACGCTGGAACTGAAAGCATCATCAGCATCGCCACCGTATCCTCCGATTACTTTCAACGAAAATCCTTCGGCTTCACTACCAATTGCAAACGAATTATAATGGGCATAAACTCTTCTATAGTCCCAGTCTTCCATTTCAACCAACAGTTGGTATTTACCGTCTCCTATCAATTACTAAATTAAAATTAAAAATTTTTGTACTGATTTACCCGTCAACTCATATAAGTGTTGTAAGCCCAACCAAAATTCTCCGCTTAAATTACCGAAACCTTGCTTATAATTCTCCCAATCTAAATAAAAATCCACAGACCCATCGAATCGGTTAAGAAAATATGTCCAACCTCCACCTCTAGTCGCCATATCACAGAAAACTAAAAAGGGTTTGGGACTACTTTTTGGCTGAATCTTGTAGATTCCTGAAATGCTTTTGCCGCTTTCTAGCACTTCTAGACAGTTTGCAGGAACGCCGTTTTGAGGCATTTTTATGCCTTTACTATTTTTATAATTCCATATTTTTTGTATTTGCTCTTCTATTTTATCTAGACGATTGTTTAATTTTTGATAAAAACTTTCTGGCTCTTCTATTTTACTTGAACAATTATTTAATTGTTGAAAAGTGTCACATGGTTTTTGATTTATGGGTGTTAAAAACTAAACATTCACAAATTATGTTTAAAAAATATTCACATTTTTAGGTACTTATACTTACCCCCCACTGCTCTGGAGAAACTTTTACAGCAAAAATTAAAATCAAAACAAACCTTACATTTAAGACCATTGTTTTAGGGAATATATTTCCTCTTTTTACAATTTATTTGTCTTTAAAATTTTAACTGTGGTAAAATTCTTGATCTCTTACCTATTTATACCATGATATCGAAAGTTATCGTGACCAACGGGGCTCATAAATTTGTAATGTACATCATAAAATTTTTACTACACCAACAAAATACACAGGAAAATAATAGAAGACATTTTCAAATCCGTTTTTTGTTTTTTGCATACTTTTTTATACCGGGTACTCCAGAACTCAGGCCCTAGAGAAAAATTCCTTGAAAAAAATGTTAAAAAATTTTATCTATAAAAATTTCGAAGTTATGGGAGTCTAAATTTTGCTCTTTGACTCTATTTATTTCTATGGAAAAATAATTTTCCAAGTTTTTTTTGTTACGGACTATTAGAAGAGGAAACAAGAAAGCTGTATCCTAAATTGTAACTCCATTTAATGTTATTTGTGGCTTTTATTGGCAAATTTTTTGTACCTTTATTAAATAATTATAAAAATAACATACACAAGATCATCAGTACCTATATTTAAATAGACATAAAAAAATACAAATGTCAAAATTTTTATTTTTAATCATTTTTTCATGTTCCTATTTTCTTATCTTTCTTGAAAATTTTCTCTGAGGCGCGAGTTTTAATATTTTTTTTATTTACATAAAACTCATTGTAAATGTCGCCTCATTCTACAAGTTCTACCAACCTTACATTTTGCCTTTGTTTTATTTCATTAATAATGTATTTAGTATTTTATGAAATGTAATGTTAGTAGAAGGAAAAATGCGACAAAAGTGTTGTTACTGTGTGTATTAATTATATGGGAAAATTTATCATTTATGATGACATTCTTTATTTATCAATTTCTTGCAATAATAGGTCTCACAATTATATAAAAATTATTATTCGTGGTTATAATAATTAAAATTAAAAATAATTAAAAACTAAAGACTTTATTTTCTTCAAATTTCTTCTTCACCTATGTGCTGGTTTCACCATCATTTTAGCTTTTTTAAGACTATAAAATGATCCACGAAAAGTATCCCAAAACATGATTTTGTATCTGTAATCATCTGATACCAATCTCTTCATGTATTTGCCTGTGAGATGTGCCATCATCATACAATCTTTATACCACCATGCTCCTCCTTAAAATGTTTAATTTATTTAATTTTTTTCAATTTACCCAAAACTTACCCCAGGAAACAGCACAACGATCTTTGTCTTTTGTAGTGAATTTAGCACCTGCACTGTACCAGAAAGAATCATCAGCATGTCCACTGAATCCTCCTAATATTTTCAACGAAAATCCTTCGTTTTCACTACCAATTGAAAACGAATTATAATGGGCATAAACTTTTTTATCGTCCCAGTCTTCCATTTCAACCAACAGTTGGTACTCACCGTCTCCTATCAATTACTAAATTAAAATGTTATTTTTTTTACTGATTTACCCGTCAACTCATGTAAGTGTTGTAAGCCCAACCAAAATTCTCCTCCTAAATAACCAAACCCTTGCTTATAATTCTCCCAATTTAAATAAAAATCCACAGACCCATCAAATCGATTGAGAAAATAAGTCCAACCTCCATCTCTAGTCTCCATATCACAGAAAACTAAAAAGGGTTTGGGACTACTCTTTGGTTGAATCGTGTAGATTCCTGAAATGATTTTGCCGCTTTCTAGCACTTCTAGACAGTTTTCAGGAAGGCCGTTTTGAGGCATTTTTACGCCTTTACTATTTTTATTATTCCATATTTTCTGTATTTGCTCTTCTATTTTATCTAGACGATTGTTTAATTTTTGATAAAAATTTTCTGGCTCTTCAATTTTATTCGAACAATTATTTAATTGTTGAAAAGTGTCACATGGTCTTTGATTTATATTTACGCCTTTACTATTTTTATTATTCCATATTTTCTGCATTTGCTCTTCTATTTTATCTAGACGATTGTTTAATTTTTGATAAAAACTTTCTGGCTCTTCTATTTTATTCGAACAATTATTTAATTGTTGAAAAGTGTCACATGGTCTTTGATTTATGGGTGTTAAAAACTAAACATTCACAAATTATGTTTAAAAAATATTCACATTTTTAGGTACTTATACTTACCCCCCACTGCTCTGAAGAGACTTTTACGGCCAAAATCAAAATCAAAACAAACCGTACATTTAAGACCATTATTTTAGGGAAAAGTTTCCTCTTTTTACAATTTAATTGTCTTTAAAATTTTAACTGTGGTAAATTTTTTCATCTCTTAGCTATTTATACCACCAGATCGAAAATTATCTTGGCCAACGGGGCCTATAAATTTCTAATGACTTATGCATCATAAATTTTTTATTACATCAATGAAATTATACAATGGAAATCATTTTTTGTTTGTGTATGTACTTTGTTTTACTTCATCAAAATGGTAAATATATTGAAATGTTCTAAATCTAGCCAAAACTACTCCAATTTACCATCAAATATTAGTAGAGGGAAAAATGCGACAAAAGTATTGTTGTATGTTTGAATTATGTATCTATTTATTTAGTTTATCTATTTTTCATTTATGCACATTATTTTTATAATTACACAAGTAAATTAAAGTTTCTTTCAATTATATCCTATACAGGGTGTGTCCCAGCGAGTTGGTAAAGTCCAATACTGACCTTTAAACGATAATATTTTAAAACGTGTATATGGGAAATTGATAGATACTAATCTAGTTCATCGCCTAAAGTTATTCACAACAAGACAATTTAATCGACTGATTTTGATTTCATTTCTTTAACAATTTATATATTATTTTAAGACTACGTCTGTGATAATATTGTTTATTTATACTTACAACTTGATCTCAAAAATTACACAGGTCAACACGAATTTTGACTTTGATAATAGAGTATGAATTTTGATAGATTTATCGATAAGTTAGACAAAAAAATATATATGGCCTGAAAAAGTTTGCTTTCGAGTCCAGGAGAACGGTTGATCAATATTTTAGAAAATTCATAGTTTAAATTTTTATTTGTAAAAAACTCGAAACAAATATATTTATGTACAAATTTTTATCAGCTTTTAATATCATATCAAATTACAAAAAAATACAAAATAGTATATCTTTTACTTTCATGTTTATAAGTACTTTGTCTCACTAAACACCAAACTCCCATCATATTTTCGTTGTATTGGCCCTAATAACGATGTTTGAAGTCCATGATGTCTTGATGAAAATGTTCTTATTGTTCTTCTGAATACGCCCCCATGTTGTTTTCAAATTTATCTAAATGAGCATATGTACTTTTAGAGACATTCTACAGCTCATAGTTTTAAAGTTTTCTAACATGTTATTAACTAGCTCTCGGTAATTTTTAACTTTGTTATTCCCTAAAAATCCAAAAACTACTCCTATAAAACTGTTTCAAATTTTTTGTTGAGCACTGGTAAGTAATTTTGGAAATTCTTCACTGGCAAAAAGTTTTTTTTTATTTGTGAATCAACAAAAATTCCAGCTTTAACCTTTGCTTCTGACAACTTTGGAAAAAAGTTTTTTTAAAAATGTAAGCTTCAGATTTTTGATCTAGTTTTTTACGAATTGTTACATAAGGCCTTGATGTGCAAATAGGGTTTATTATCATAACTACCACAAAAGCAAACTTTTGAAGGAATATGGGTATTTTTTTATTTTAAAGCGTAGTGAATGGAAAAATCACAAAATAAATTTTAAGACAGACATTTTTTTATGTAAAGTTGTGTTATCTTCTTTAACGGGGGTCATACATTTTGATGATTTTTTTACAAAAACTAAAAATTATAAAACACTTTCACTACTCCAAAAAAACTTTCAAGAGAAAAAATAAATTATTTAAAAGTAAAATAACTTTAACAATTTTTATTACTTTTGTTGTAATAATAATAGAAAAAATATAGTACTCAACTTGTGCACAATGTAGAAACAACTTTTAAGCGTACACTTTTTATTGTTAAATTTTCGAACACTTTAAGTGGCAGTTTTAATAATTCCACACCACAAATCAAATTTTTTCTCTTGGTCGTACCATCATCCTAGCTTTCCCCAAACTATACTTCGGTCCATGGTACCCTCCCCAATACATCCCTTGGTACATAAACTCTTCCGGAACCTCGCCTTTCAGATACTTTCCGTTTAGATTACTCATGTCGCAACTTCGGTACCACCAAGCCCCACCTAAACAAAACTGTACCAACAAACCCAAAAACAACCCATAACTCACCATGTGCTTGCGCGCAACTCCCTTCCGGCCACTCGTCCTGGTCCAAATCCTTGGTACTAAACTTACTCCCGGCATGGTATGTTAGAGAATCCCCCGCATCCCCATTATAACCCCCCAGAACCTTCAAACTGTAGCCTTCAGCTTCGCTACCAACACTGAAAGCGCTATAATGGGCGAAAACCCTAGTTTTGTCCAAATCCTCGAGCTCGATGAGTAATTCGTTAACCTCCGAACCTAATTTTTTTATAAAGTTGCCACCGACAAGTGTGCCTACCTGTGAGTTGGTGCAAGTATTCGAGACCTAACCAGAATTCGCCCCCTAGGTTGCCAAAACCAGTTTTATAGCTGTGCCAGTTTTGGTAGAAATCTTGGACTCCTGTGTAGCGGTTCTGGATGTAAGTCCAACCTCCCCCTTGCGACGATAACTCGCATAAGGCCAAAAAAGGCCGCGAGGCCAATTCAGGCCGAATTCGGTAAATTCCAGAGACGTTGTTGCCCCTCTCTTGCACCTGTTTGCAATTCTCAGGGAAGCTGAGCAATGGTTTTGTTGCAAGTTTTGAATTAGACTTAAGTGCAATTTCAGAAATGTTTTTCCTGAGATTGTCAATTCCCGAATTGATGTTTCTAAGTGCAGCCACAACAACTTGAAGTCCTTTTTCCAGGTTATCGATTTGTAAATTTGTGTGTGGTTGGGGTTGGTCAGAAACATGTCCTAATTCACTCTGGAGTGCTTTAAGGGCTGTTTCAATGTCAGCATTTTGCGATTCGAGGGCATGAAGTCTCCGATTGCTTTCTTTTAATTCCGAAGTTTGTTTCGCAGATTGGACTTCGAGACGCTTGAGTCTGTATTCGAGCTGGTCCGTATTGTAAGCCGTCTATGGAAAAAAACTGAAATAATTAAAAGCTTTTTAGTTTTTTATTTTTTTTATTTAACTTGCTTTGTTGTCTGTTTGCACAAAATCTTACGAGTCAAATTTAAAACAGCTCCTGTCGTCCCAACAAACTGAAATTTTGGATACATACGTAATTTTCATGACATTACAATAATATTTACTTTAATTAAGAGGAGTAATTTATAAACAATTAACAATTGTTATAAACAAGTATCAATATCTCGGCTCCAAATTGAAATACAAAGAAGGAACCAACTTCATTTGTTAGAACAGAAAAAATCCTATAGGTTGATATGATTCGTAAGGGCTGAAATTTAAAACAGATTCAACAAATAAAAAAATTGTATTTTAGAAAACAATAAATAAAGTGAAAAACAGAAATATAAAAGTGTGTCAGAAGAGAAGATACCAGGAACATGGAAAAAATGTTTAAAAAAAAATAAAAATTTGACATTTATTTTAGGACATTTGATATTATTTTATGTTTTTTTAATAATATGTACTTATGATCTTGTTCATGTTTTCTTATAGTTATTTATGAAAGGTACAAAAAATTTGTCAATAAAAGGCACAAATTAGTTACAAGTTACAATTTAGGATACAGCAAAAAAACTTGGAAAATTATTTTTTTAGTCAAAATGCAAAATTTAAACTTTCATAACTTCGAAATTTTTATAAATAGAATTTTTTACCATTTTTTCCATGTTACCTTACATGACAGTTTTATCTGGAACACGAATTCTGACGCACCTGTATATCTTACTTATTGTGGTAATAAAGAAATATACCAGTAGTAAAGAAAAAATAAAAAAAATTTCTTAGGACTTTGGACAAATTAAAATAATTCGATTTATTAAAAATGTACACATAAATGACACTTTTTGCAAAAACTTTTTATTTTCCTATTTTTGAATTTTTAGTTTTTTTGTTACATAATTGTATTTTGTACACAAATGTCACAAAAGTGATCATTTTTATGAGTAAATATTAGAAGAAAAAGTTTTATCTTTCAGCCATGGAGTAAAAATTTTATTTTTACTTTTACCATAACATTTTCTGGAGAGGTACATTGTAGATCATTTACATCTACTAATTGTACTACTTAAATTTATACAATGAAAAAAATCGGTAATATTTTCCATTATTAAATTTTATTTACAATTTTTCACACAAATTTTCTCTTTCTGAATTACTATTGTTACATCATGACCTAACTAAAGTCGCATTTTTATACTATTTTTGTATTTCTCATATACGTGTATCAAACCATGCAAATTTACTTTATTTTGTTATTTTATTATTATTTTTTT